GAGCTGTGCAGGCTCAGCACCTCTGAAAATCAGGCCCTAGTTATCACCATCTGGGTGCCGAAGACCAAGCCACCCTGCATTACTGGCCATTTATGGGAATTTGGGCTTTAGCCCCTCTGTGCCTCGGTTTACCCCGCTATTCAGTGAAGTTAATGGCACTTACGCAGCTTTCCTCTGAGAGGTACTATATAAGTGCAAAGTATTAAACTGGCATCTAAATTTTCATGCCACTAAAGTGGTTACCATTAAAAAGGTACCGGTTTCCGTGTGAAAACAGATCGTATTACCTGGATATTACAGGTGTTCCCTATACTAGGCATTAATACATACCAGTAATAATATGTAGCATGGGAAAAACTTGTCAAGCTGTAGTAACCCTGATTTCAGATAATACATGTCATAATATAAAGACAGCTATTGTTTAGATGACAGAAGTAGCTGAAGCTGTGAATAGAGGTTAGGAGACACTGTATGTAGTGTTATACTTTCCTATAGTGCAAAGTACCCCCAGTGCAGGCTTCATGCTTTTTGGTTGGGACTCCGAGGACATTGCTTACCTCCACAAGCCACCCTGATTTGCCAAAAGCTGCTAAATTACTGCTAGTTTGAAACAGTCTTGTGATGTTTGATCTCTTACTCTAAACAACAGGGTGACTGCTTAAGCCCATTTTAACTTTGACCTTTTCCTTGATCTGGATCTTAAGACTCTGTCCCCTCCCCATTAAAAATTAAGGCCAGTTTGTTATGGGGGAGGGTGGAGGGGGGAAGGATCGCAGGAGAGAGAGAAGAAAGATTAAGTTTTAAACTGCCATGTCCATGTCAAAATTTTGCTTTGATAATAATTAAAAACAGATCTTTTAATACCTGAAGTTCCATTTGCTTCCCCCACCCCCACACACGTATCCCTTTGACTTGGGATTTTTCGGGAGATTTTTTAAAAATATAGTATAATATAGTAAGTTTCAGATATGTTTCTACTTTTTTTGAGTTAAAAGAAAAGATACTGTGAGGGTCACCCCCACAATTTTACGTCTATCTTGTCTGCATATAGTACAGTTTTTGGACTGGTGTGAAGCTAACTGAGTCATCTATCTGCCGCCCTGACCGGGAAAACCGAGAAGTCTGCTGCTTGCCAGGGGCTAAGATACGCGATGTGACAGAGAGACTGCCGAGACTCATCAAGCCCTCGGATCGCTACCCCTTCCTGCTTCTCCACGTGGGCACCAATGATACTGCCAAGAATGACCTTGAACAGATCACTGCGGACTACGTGGCTCTGGGAAGAAGGATAAAGGAGTTTGAGGCGCAAGTGGTGTTCTCGTCCATCCTCTCCGTGGAAGGAAAAGGCCTGGGTAGGGACCGTTGAATCGTGGAAGTCAACGAATGGCTACGCAGGTGGTGTCGGAGAGAAGGCTTTGGATTCTTTGACCATGGGATGGTATTCCATGAAGGAGGAGTGCTGGGCAGAGACGGGCTCCATCTTACAAAGAGAGGGAAGAGCATCTTTGCGAGCAGGCTGGCTAACCTAGTGAGGAGGGCTTTAAACTAGGTTCACCGGGGGAAGGAGACCAAAGCCCTGAGGTAAGTGGGAAAGCGGGATACCGGGAGGAAGCACAGGCAGGAATGTCTGTGAGGGGAGGGCTCCTGCCTCATACTGAGAATGAGGGACGATCAACAGGTTATCTCAGGTGCTTATATATGAATGCACAAAGCCTTGGAAACAAGCAGGGAGAAGTGGAGGTCCTGGTGATGTCAAGGAATTATGACATGATTGGAATAACAGAGACTTGGTGGGATAACTCACATGACTGGAGTACTGTCATGGATGGTTATAAACTGTTCAGGAAGGACAGGCAGGGCAGAAAAGGTGGGGGAGTAGCACTGTATGTAAGGGAGCAGTATGACTGCTCAGAGCTCCGGTACGAAACTGCAGAAAAACCTGAGTGTCTCTGGATTAAGTTTAGAAGTGTGAGCAACAAGAGTGATGTAGTGGTGGGAGTCTGCTATAGACCACCGGACCAGGGGGATGAGGTGGATGAGGCTTTCTTCCGGCAGCTCACAGAAGCTACTAGATCGCACACCCTGGTTCTCATGGGTGACTTTAATTTTCCTGATATCTGCTGGGAGAGCAATACAGCGGTGCATAGACAATCCAGGAAGTTTTTGGAAAGCGTACGGGACAATTTCCTGGTGCAAGTGCTAGAGGAGCCAACTAGGGGGGGAGCTTTTCTTGACCTGCTGCTCACAAACAGGGAAGAATTAGTGGGGGAAGAAAAAGTGGATGGGAATCTGGGAGGCAATGACCATGAATTGGTTGAGTTCAGGATCCTGACACAGGGAAGAAAGGTAAGCAGCAGGATACGGACCCTGGACTTCAGGAAAGCAGACTTCGACTCGCTCAGTGAACGGATGGGTAGGATCCCCTGGGGGACTAACATGAAGGGGAAAGGAGTCCAGGAGAGCTGGCTCTATTTCAAAGAATCCCTGTTGAGGTTACAGGGACAAACCATCCCGATGAGTCGAAAGAATAGTAAATATGGCAGGCGACCAGCTTGGCTTAACGGTGAAATCCTAGCGGATCTTAAACATAAAAAAGAAGCTTACAAGAAGTGGAAGGTTGGACATATGACCAGGGAAGAGTATAAAAATATTGCTCGGGCATGTAGGAATGAAATCAGGAGGGCCAAATCGCACCTGGAGCTGCAGCTAGCAAGAGATGTCAAGAGTAACAAGAAGGGTTTCTTCAGGTATGTTGGCAACAAGAAGAAAGCCAAGGAAAGTGTGGGCCCCTTAATGAATGAGGAAGGCAACCTAGTGACGGAGGATGTGGAAAAAGCTAATGTACTCAATGCTTTTTTTGCCTCTGTCTTCACAAACAAGGTCAGCTCCCAGACTGCTGCGCTGGGCATCACAACATGGGGAATAGATGGCCAGCCCTCTGTGGAGAAAGAGGTGGTTCGGGACTATTTAGAAAAGCTGGACGTGCACAAGTCCATGGGGCTGGACGAGTTGCATCCGAGAGTGCTAAAGGAATTGGCAGCTGTGATTGCAGAGCCATTGGCCATTATCTTTGAAAACTCATGGCGAACGGGGAAAGTCCCAGATGACTGGAAAAAGGCTAATGTAGTGCCAATCTTTAAAAAAGGGAAGAAGGAGGATCCTGGGAACTACAGGCCAGTCAGCCTCACCTCAGTCCCCGGAAAAATCATGGAGCAGGTCCTCAAAGAATCAATCTTGAAGCACTTACATGAGAGGAAAGTGATCAGGAACAGTCAGCATGGATTCACCAAGGGAAGGTCATGCCTGACTAATCTAATCACCTTCTATGATGAGATTACTGGTTCTGTGGATGAAGGGAAAGCAGTGGATGTATTGTTTCTTGACTTTAGCAAAGCTTTTGACACGGTCTCCCACAGTATTCTTGTCAGCAAGTTAAAGAAGTACGGGCTGGATGAATGCACTATAAGGTGGGTAGAAAGCTGGCTAGATTGACGGGCTCAACGGGTAGTGATCAATGACTCCTTGTCTAGTTGGCAGCCGGTGTCAAGTGGAGTGCCCCAGGGGTCGGTCCTGGGGCCGGTTTTGTTCAATATCTTCATAAATGATCTGGAGGATGGTGTGGATTGCACTCTCAGCAAATTTGCGGATGATACTAAACTGGGAGGAGTGGTAGATACGCTGGAGGGGAGAGATAGGATACAGAAGGACCTAGACAAATTGGAGGATTGGGCCAAAAGAAATCTGATGAGGTTCAATAAGGATAAGTGCAGGGTCCTGCACTTAGGACGGAAGAACCCAATGCACAGCTACAGACTAGGGACCGAATGGCTAGGCAGCAGTTCTGCGGAAAAGGACCTAGGGGTGACAGTGGACGAGAAGCTGGATATAAGTCAGCAGTGTGCCCTTGTTGCCAAGAAGGCCAATGGCATTTTGGGATGTATAAGTAGGGGCATAGCGAGCAGATCGAGGGACATGATCGTCCCCCTCTATTCGACATTGGTGAGGCCTCATCTGGAGTACTGTGTCCAGTTTTGGGCCCCACACTTCAAGAAGGATGTGGATAAATTGGAGAGAGTCCAGCGAAGGGCAACAAAAATGATTAGGGGTCTGGAACACATGACTTATGAGGAGAGGCTGAGGGAACTGGGATTGTTTAGTCTGCAGAAGAGAAGAATGAGGGGGGATTTGATAGCTGCTTTCAACTACCTGAGAGGTGGTTCCAGAGAGGATGGTTCTAGACTATTTTCAGTGGTAGAAGAGGACAGGACAAGGAGTAATGGTCTCAAGTTGCAGTGGGGGAGGTTTAGGTTGGATATTAGGAAAAACTTTTTCACTAGGAGGGTGGTGAAACACTGGAATGCGTTACCTAGAGAGGTGGTAGAATCTCCTTCCTTAGAAGTTTTTAAGGTCAGGCTTGACAAAGCCCTGGCTGGGATGATTTAATTGGGGATTGGTCCTGCTTTGAGCAGGGGGTTGGACTAGATGACCTCCTGAGGTCCTTTCCAACCCTGATATTCTATGATTCTATTCTAACCTGCTAGAATGAATACTGAGGTTCTTAAACTGACCTACTCCAGTTACAGAGGGGAAAAACAGAAACCTTAAGGAAATGTAATACTTTCTCACTCTTAAAAGCACATTTTCAAAGCATGCCCTCCACTTGTGAGGACAAAAATGTACATACATGCTTCTGCACACACTCTAGCACCTGCATGCTCATGTTCAGTTATTTAATACCTGTGAGCTCACAAGTGTCGGAATTTATACTTGCAAACTCCATTGGTATCAATGGGCTTTGCAGGTGCAGTTTCTGACACTTGTTTCCTTGCAGGTGTTAAGAGCATTGAAAGAGGGAGTACAGGTGGTAGAAGGTGGCCAGCTGTGTGCACCTGCAGAGTGCAGGTTCATGTCCCCATATTTACACGTGCACAAATGAGGCTTTTTGGAAAATTTACCTTTGTCTCCATTCTGTTCCCCTTTTTCTCTCTCTCTCTGTTTAGAACCTGCTTTATACTTCGGCGACACTGAATATCGGGTGGATGAAAGTGCTGGTTACGTTGAAGTTCGTGTCTGGAGAACTGGAACAGATCTCTCCAAATCGGCCTCCGTTACTGCACGTTCCAGGAAAACGGAGCCAGTATCAGCGAAGGGTGAGTTGCTTTCAAATAAAAAATGTTGTTCAGATTGCTTTCTGATCTGTACTCAAGTGGGGTGCTATGAGGGTTCATTCTGACACTCCTCTGATTCAATGTGTGTATGAGGCTTTTTGCAGGGTTATTGAAGTGCGCAATCTGGTGCTTTCGGCAGGCAGATGATACCCAGTCTTATGTCTGACTCAGTGCAGATGATTTCATTCACCAACATCTGGTAGAGTCTGGGGCATGAATGTTAATAAGTTGATTATAGCTCAATCCACACAAGACCGAAGTGATGAGGATAGGCTGAGGGAAGCAACTAGAACAGATGGCACAGACAATACTGTCCCCTTTGAGTATGTTGCTCTGCCGTTGGTCACCTGAGTTTGCAACTTAGGGGCGTTGTTAGGCCTCCAGTTGCTTTAGATGATCATAAGATACAGTGGCCAGGATGGCTTTATTCCTGCTGCATCTAATAAAGAGTTTATGACCTCTTCTATGGGATGCAGACCTCACTGCTGTTATCGATGTCTTTGTCACCTCGTAATAAGATTACTGCAATACGCTCTGCTTGGGGCAGAATGCCAATGTCCACTCTTTAAGTGGTGTATTTCACCAGGATCACATGTCACCAGTGCTCTGTGATCTGTGCTGGCTGTCTGTTGGTTCATGAGTGGAATTCAAGGTGTAATTATTTTTTTAATCTAGAAAGCCCTAACTGGGTTGGGATTGGTCTACCTTAGAGACTACCTCTTTTCCCATTTAATATTGCCCCAGCTGCAGGGAAAGAGGGTATACAAGCTGAATCTCCCTCAGTTATTAGAGAGGAAACTGCTGGCATTGCATTTTCCATGAGAGCCCTGGAACCTTCCCTTCCTCACTTTGATTCAAAGTAGCCCAGACCTGTTGACTGCATCTGCAAAATAGCTCATCTCTCAGCCAGGTTGCAAAGACAATCTCTTTATGAGGGATTTTGGGAGCATTTGGGTAGGATGGAGTTTTGCTGGGATGCTGTTTGTTTGAATTTAATTAAGCAGCCAGCAACATAAAGAGCAGTTGTGGTAACTGCTAGGTATTGGGAAGCAAACAGCATTTATTAAGGATCATTCATTCCTCCTCATTGGTGATCTGCTGGCAAAAGTTAATTTTGTTTCTTGACTTTAGCAAAGCTTTTGACACGGTCTCCCACAGTATTCTTGTCAGCAAGTTAAGGAAGTATGGGCTGGATGAATGCACTTCAAGGTGGGTAGAAAGCTGGCTAGATTGTCGGGCTCAACGGGTAGTTATCAATGGCTCCATGTCTAGTTGGCAGCCGGTATCAAGTGGAGTGCCCCAAGGGTCGGTCCTGGGGCCGGTTTTGTTCAATATCTTCATAAATGATCTGGAGAATGGTGTGGATTGCACTCTCAGCAAATTTGCGGATGATACTAAACTGGGAGGAGTGGTAGATACGCTGGAGGGGAGAGATAGGATACAGAAGGACCTAGACAAATTGGAGGATTGGGCCAAAAGAAATCTGATGAGGTTCAATAAGGATAAGTGCAGGGTCCTGCACTTAGGACGGAAGAACCCAATGCACAGCTACAGACTAGGGACCGAATGGCTAGGCAGCAGTTCTGCGGAAAAGGACCTAGGGGTGACAGTGGACGAGAAGCTGGATATGAGTCAGCAGTGTGCCCTTGTTGCCAAGAAGGCCAATGGCATTTTGGGATGTATAAGTAGGGGCATAGCGAGCAGATCGAGGGACATGATCGTTCCCCTCTATTCGACATTGGTGAGGCCTCATCTGGAGTACTGTGTCCAGTTTTGGGCCCCACACTTCAAGAAGGATGTGGATAAATTGGAGAGAGTCCAGCGAAGGGCAACAAAAATGATTAGGGGTCTGGAACACATGAGTTATGAGGAGAGGCTGAGGGAGCTGGGATTGTTTAGCCTGCAGAAGAGAAGAATGAGGGGGGATTTGATAGCTGCTTTCAACTACCTGAAAGGGGGTTCCAAAGAGGATGGCTCTAGACTGTTCTCAATGGTATCAGATGACAGAACGAGGAGTAATGGTCTCAAGCTGCAGTGGGGGAGGTTTAGATTGGATATTAGGAAAAACTTTTTCACTAAGAGGGTGGTGAAACACTGGAATGCGTTACCTAGGGAGGTGGTAGAATCTCCTTCCTTAGAGGTTTTTAAGGTCAGGCTTGACAAAGCCCTGGCTGGGATGATTTAACTGGGAATTGGTCCTGCTTCGAGCAGGGGGTTGGACTAGATGACCTTCTGGGGTCCCTTCCAACCCTTATATTCTATGATTCTATGAAAGACAAATAATGCTTCAGTGACTTTCCCATTAATCAAGTTGAAAGCAGTCTTTTCTTTTTTTTAATAAGTGTGTGATAAATGGTCAGAGCTGTTGCCAAAATAACAAGTAATAAAGGCAGGGGTGAAAGTAACTTAAAGGACTTACCAGTACTCCGGAGTCCTGAGCAGGGGGGCGTGGCCTCGACCGGAAGAGGCGGGGCCTTTAAATCCGCATTTAAAGGCCCCAGGGCTCCAGCTGCAACTGGGAGCCCCGGGGCCTTTAAATCACCCCCGGAGCTACCAGCTGCAGAGGCAGCTGGAAGCCCCAGGGCTCAGGGGCGATTTAAAGGGCCCCGGGCTGTGGCCGCTGCTGCCGCAGCATAGCTCCGGGCCCTTTAAATCGCCGCTGGAACCCTGCCGCCGCCACCCCGGGGCTCCGGCAGCGGGGCACAGGTGGCACTTTAAAGGGCTCAGGGGCTCCGGCCTCTGTGGGGAGCCCCAGAGGTTCGGAGGGGTGCTTTAAAGGGCCCGGGGCTCCCTGCAGCAGCCGGAGCCCCTGCCCCTTTAAATCACCACCAGAGCCCTGCCGCCGCTACCCCAGGGCTCCGGCAGTGGGGCTCGGAGGGAGCTTTAAACGGTCCGGGGCCTCCAGCCGCTGCGGGGAGCCTCGGGGGTGCTTTAAAGGGACCGGGGCTCCACACAGCAGCTGGAGCCCTGGGCCCTTTAAAGAGCCGCCTGAGCCCTGCCGCCGCTACCCCAGGGGCTCCGGCAGCGGGGCTCAGGCGGCTCTTTAAAGGGCCCAGGGCTCTGGCCGCTGTAGGGAGCCCAGGGCCCTTTAAAGCGCCAGCCTGGGGAAGCCAGTCTGGTCCTGCACGGCGTACTGGCTCTTGCCAGTACGCTGTACCGGACCAGACCGGCTTACTTTCACCTCTGAATAAAGGGCTTTAATAGGTACAGGTGGCATTTAATTAAATAACTTATGATATTCATGCAGGGAAATAGGAGAAATGGGGGTTTGTATGGAACTACTGTAAGTCAGGGAAGTAGTTAGACAACCACACATGGTGTGTGGTAAATATTAGGGCTAGTTGTTAGTTCAGGAAGAAATGGAGGCTTTTATTGCTATTGGATTCCTATAGGGCTCTGTGCTGGCTACAAAGCAATTTAATAATGTTGCACTCAGGGTGTTACATGTCTGATTTGAGGAGATGCTTCAGTTATAACCCCTTATTTTCAGACATTTACTGTTTCTGGAGAAAAAAAAATTTCCTCTAAAATTTTTCATACTTTCCAAATATTTGTAAAGTTTGATGAAATTCCAGTTAGATCTGTGTGAGATACCCAAGCAGGAAATATTTGGTTAAGAAACTTTTCAAACAAATTTTTGGACTAAAATTTTATAAACCAAAATAACATTTTATAAAGCTCAGAATTGGTGAGGACTAAATTCTCAGTGAGAACTAGTGCCTATAACATGTTTGAAGAACTGTGAGAGTGACACACTATTTTCTACTGTTGGCATGTCTCATGATGTGGAGGTCCACATATACATGTGAAGGTAAAGAAAAGTTAAGAGAGCTAAACACGTAAGTCAAATTCTGCTGAGATTTACATCTGACTGACTATCTTCAGAGTTTGCTGAAAAGATAGCCGAGGCAAGAAATGATAGCAGTTTATAAATAATAATGTTCAATCTGCTGTGGGGAGGAAGGAAAATGATTGCTCTCATTGAATTTAAGGTGCAGTGAAGGAGAAAAGTTTGGAATAAATAGTGCAAAGAGCTGTGGAATCAGAATAAAATCAGTTTGGCTATGGGATGTGCTTGGCAGGGAAGCAGTGGAGTTACCATCTATGGAAATTTTCCAGTCAAGACTTTATATTTTACCTCTTCTGTGAATAGCGAATATCCATCCCCAGAGAACGTCAATCCAGCACTGTTCACCAGTATTGAAGTTACTGTAAAAAAAATATAGAGAGAGAGAAAGTCAACACTTAATGATGAGATCCTGAGGTAGAGATGTTTTGGGGATACAGTGATCCTGGCATTGTGCTGGAGATGGGTTTCTCCGGCCCTTTCCAGCCCAAGTGATTGTGTGGAATTACTGTAGGTCTGTTCCTTTATTTTTAAAAAGCTAACCTGTAAAGTAATACTTCAGAAACTGCTTCTGATCGCTGAATAATTCTGTTTAACTTTTAAGAGCAAATACGGCCCATGGGCATGATGCTCAATGTATTGGCCAAATTGTTATTTTAAAACTGTATGGACTATGGGCCTAATTCTCATTTACAGCAAGGCCACTTTATACCATTCTGGCAGTGTAAAGAGACACATTTCTAGTCCGTTTGCACAGCCAGAGTGAAGTAAAGTGGCCTTAGGGCTTGTCTATACAGGATGTTACTGCATGGTAAGCCAGGGTGTGAATCTACAGCACATCAACTGGGTGCTCAATAACATTCAGTGTGGACATTGCTCCAGCACAGTGCAAGTCCTGGAGTGCAGCTGGGAGTACTGTAGTAAGACGAACTGCCCTCCAGGACTTCGTGTACTGTCAGCTGTGTCCATACAGGATGTTACTGTGCATCAAGCTAGTGCACTGTAGATTCACACCCTGGCTTGCCACAGTAACTTTCTGGGTAAACAAGCCTTTAGTGCAAATGAGGATCAGGACCTTTATGCTTTTTTTTTTTTTTGCTTTTTATGCTCATTGTTCGGTTTTGGTTTGTTTGTTTTTTTTTGGGGGGGGGGGGGGGGAGTTGTTTTTTTTTAACTTACAGGTGACAAAAATCCAAAATAAATACTTCTCAGAAAAATAAGGCACAGATTGTCTTGATTTTGTGAACATATTCTGCAAATAAATGGTAAAATCTTAATATATGGCAAATGAGTGGCCATGTTCTTTTTGCTTCCCAAACAGCTGGAATTGATTACGTGGGCATCAGCCGGAATCTGGACTTTGCTCCTGGAGTCAAGATGCAGGCGTTCCGAGTGACTGTCCTCGACGACCTGGGGCAGCCTGTTTTGGAGGGTCCGGAGAAGTTTGAGCTGATTCTCTATATGCCCATGAATGCAGTGCTTGGGGTGCCTAGCAAAACTACCATCTTCATCGATGACAGCATTACTGACTGTAAGTGTAAAGCAAGAAGCTTTTTCTATTTTTAGTACTTAAAGTACACACACAAGGTCCAGGAAATCTTCTGGCAATAGTGTTAGCTGTTACATGTATAATTATGCACTGTAGTTCATTATCATGAAATTCTGCCTTAGCTGACATGGTGGAAAATGGACTCTATGCACAAGCTGGAGTAAGTCTATAGCACAGCTCCTCTGTGGTCCATACTGCAGCCTGTTCACTTGGTCACAACGTGGTTGAAGATGGTGTTTTTGGACAAGTAGACTTGGCTCTCCTTGTCCTTCTAGAGATACATGTAAGTTCGTTCACTGGGGCCTGCTGCACTTGGGTGAATTTGATCATTAAATGAATGTTCATGTCAATGGTACTGAGGCCTTTAGTATGAAACTGTAAAAGTGGGTGAGTTATCCAGCCTCCGTGTTAGTATAAGAGTTTGGACTGCAAAATTCAAAGGTTTCTCACGTGATTGTACAAATTGTGATGCTCAAAGGCAGCTCTATCAAATGACACGTAGTGCCTCTTCTGCTGAGGAGTAAGACTACTTCACTGTCTTGCATTGCTCACAATGAGATAACAAACGGAAAATTCATATTCATTATTTAATAATCAGCACAATGCCTTTCAGAGCACTTGGCTATTTGATAAGTAGCCAGGTGTAATCCCCTGGGGTCTCAAGTTTCTGCAGATTAACACCATTATAATAAATAAATAAATGAAGTTACATAGTTCTAGGCCAGTTTGGTCTCTAAACATGCTCTTCAAAGTTTAGTTCCAATCTTGAGCTGTGTGAAATTTGCAACCACCAGGCCCAACCCTGTACCTTTTTGAAGTTTTGACACTGACTTCAGAGGGAGCAGGATTGTGCTGCTCTATCGCTTTTGTATTAATGCCATGCCTAAATCTCCAACTAAAAAAGACTCCTTAACACATATTTACAGAAAATAATCCCATCATTCAGAAACAGACTAGATCAAAATACATCAAATTCTCAGCTGCTGGGTTAGTTTGGTTTGTTTTTTTTGAAGAAAGGCAGTGAGGTCAGTAGAGTCTAGGGGCTTGACTAGAAGGTGTGTTACTTCACACCGGAGGAGTGTACATTCTAGTGTGCACTAGTGTGTCATGCACTGACTGACCCATGTGGAGCTTGCTAGTGTGTACTAGAAGTTCCCTAGTCAAGTGAGCATCAATATAGTAGTGTTTGAAATAGACTACATTCATGTGCACCAGGGAACTTCTAGTGCACGCCAGCGAGGTCCATATGGGCCAGTTAGTGCACAGCATGCTAATGCGGACTAATGTTTACACCGCTCTGGTGCAGGCTAGTGTGCTGTGTAGACAGTCCCTGAGTCAGTGGCTGAGTCAATACAGATTGAAAGTGTTTTAATTCATCAGGAGTTAAAATCTGTATTGTTTTAAAAACACCTATTGAGCTGAACCCCCTCTGATTGCTGCAAATGGCTATGAGGAGAAATAGGTCCACGTCCAATATTTCTCTTCCAGAATGTACCCATGCCATGGGCATTCTTATCATGTGGACTCTACAATGAAATGTGTAAAATCTTCTGTTTTCAGTACCCAAAGTCCAGTTCAAGAAACCATGGTACACAGTGAATGAAAAAGATGGACAGTTAGTGGCTATCATTTATCGTAGTGGTGATATTAACCATAAATCTACCGTCATTTGCTACACTCGCCAAAGTTCTGCTCAAATCATGATGGACTACCAGGAGCGACCAAACACAGATGACTCTGTGGTGGTGTTTCTGCCAGGTAAAATCCCTCCCGTGAGAACTGGAGATCCTCATAAGGAATAGTGACTCTCGGTGCTTTTGAGGAAAAGAACTCATCGGCTAATGAATAAAAGCTGAGTGCCGGGGACGGTTTGGGCGGAGTCTCCATGTAAGTAATGCCAGCGGGATCTCACGTCAGATGAAGCTGCCGCAGCACAGGCTTTCAGCAAAGAGCTCTGTACCCACAGCTTCAGTCTGCAGCATTTTCAAATATTTTATATCCAAAAATGGGGAAGGAAGGGAAATCAAACTACCTAAGTGCGTTGCCCCTGCTGTCCTTCTGAAGCAGAGTACGTATACAGAAAAAATAAGAGGAAGGGAGATCTGATGCTTTCAGTGGAAGCACAGCAGCAATGATTGGCGAGCAGCACTCTTCATGGCTGCACCCAACACCCACAGGACCCGTCCATGAGGACCCCGGAGTCATCTTTAAAAAAAAAAAGACACACTTAATTTCCCAATAAAATGAGGTTTACCTGGTCAATGACCTCCTTCACTGCTGGTGACTATGGCTTTCTGTCCTAGTTCTCAGTGGAAAGACTAGGTCTGACATTTTTTTGTCTCTCAAAGTACATTTTAACACTGATGTTTAACGGGAATTAACAGCCCTGGAGACAGAACTTTCTTTGACCAAAGAGCTTGTTTTATGCTGCCCCACCAATATACCTCAATCCTAACTATCCTTCCCAGGGTAAGAAGGCGGCTCAGTCTATGTGATCACTCAATCCTTGGTCTCCACTGAGTGCTCCTGAGGATGCCCATTAGTGCCTGTTGTGACACTGGACAGTATGGCAGGAAAACCACACTGAAAATATGTTGAGTGATATCAAATAGAACTAGCAGAAAGGTCTGAGTTACCCTATCCTGGAACTACATTGTTTGCTTCCACTCTCTTGAGATTAGTCGTTTTTGTTGTTTTTTTAAATTAGTTAGGGAACCTTAAAGGTGCATTTGGTTTTTATCCTGGGTCTTTTGTGCTGCAATTGGTTTGTAACCACATGTGAGGGTGATCGTAATGCCTGTTTTATCCCCTCTCTGCAGGAGAGATTGAGAAGCCCTGTGTGGTAATACTGGAGGATGATGCAATTTATGAAGAAGAGGAAGAATTCAGACTAGTGCTTGGAACACCAAAAAGTACCTCAACGTTTGGTGCCTCCATTGGGGAGCAAAAAGAGACCCTGATCAAGATTAAGGATGAAGAAGACAGTGAGTTTTTAAGCATCTTTGTGTTTATTGTTAAATATACAAATTCAAAGTAGTACCACAGCGATAGCTGAAAGCTGGAACATAGGACTTGCTATTCTGGATCAGACCACTGGTCCATCTAGTCCAATATCCCATCGCCAGCGGAGGCCTGTACCAGATGCTTCACAAAGGAAGGGACAAGAAACTCTCTAGTTGACATTTATTGAATAACCCACCCCTAGGGGAAGTTTTCTCCTAATCCCAATAGTTTAGAAGTTTGTTTACATGTGAAGCAAGAAGTTTAATTCCTTCAAAGCATCTTGTTGTTTATTGTTATGTATTTACTGTTATAACTCTGAATACTCTTGCTACCCTTATAAATGATGAAACAGTTTTTGTTTCCTGCTAAGCTTCTGATGTGATGTTGTAGCAATGAGTTCCACAGGCTAATTGTGCATTTTATGAATATTTTCCTGGTTATCGGTTTTGAATTTGACACCTTTCAATTTCACTGATTTTCCCTCTGTTCTTGTGTAATGATACATGGTGAATAGCAGTTCTTCGAATGCTGGTCCCTATGTGTATCCCACTGTAGGTGTGCATGCGCTCCATGCTTCCAGAGCCAGAGAATTTTGAAAGCAGTGTCTGTTGGTCCACACGTGCCCTGGCTCACTTTGTGCCTCCAACTAAGAAGATCCAGGGCAGTGCGAATTGACCATCTCTCCAGTTCCTTTTCACCACTGCTTGGTCTGGATCGGAACCTCCGGAGTCCAAAGCTTCAGTTTTATTCTTTTATCAGTGAACATATATTTAAATATCTGCACATAGTTTTTAGAAGTTGGAGAGTTTTAAAGTTTTATCTGATAGTTTTTAGTGTTGGCCTCCCTGACCTTCGGAGCACCTCCTGACTTTTACCTTGTTTGGGTACTGGATTATGCCCAGTACTCCGGCCTTCAAAATTTGTGCTTCCTACCTGCAGTCCTTCTCAATCAGTGATGACACCCAACACTGCCTGTGGTGCTTCAGGGGGGCCCGCGTCGTGACCAGCTGCGGTACCTGCTGTTCGTTCCTCAGCCGTACCTGGGAAGCACTCGTAGCTGTAGGAAGCACCTAATGGACAGGGCCATGAGGCCGCAGTTGGACCCAGGCCGAGGGACCCCCACTGTGTGTCGGCCTGACTCAGCAAGGAGTGCATCTCTTACCACAAGGTGCAACTCAGAAGCGACGGAATCTATCCCCATGGAGTCTTGTTGGGAGAGCAGGGAGCATTCTCGTAAATATGAGAGCAAATCCTCCTCCAAATCCACTTCAAATAAGTCAGATACAGCCCTACCTAAACTGAGCGAGTCTCTAAGCTCAGCCCAAGAGAACTTAGGATGTACTAAGTCTCAGAGGCATGACAAGAAAGCCCACAAATCTAGGGCTCCACCAGCACCAGATCACAATCCGGCAGCACTGATGCCTCTGGTATCTCCCAAACACAAACCCTGGGATCTGCCAGCACCAATGAAGACCGATCACCAAGAGCATTGGTTACCCACGGTACCATATTTGTCTTCCGTGGCTGTGGCACATTCTGTCTCTACTGCAGCTCAGACAGACCCAAGAGTCAAGACCCATGCTCCTCCTGATGAGATCTTCGCTGTCCCAGACCCGGAGTTTCCTATTCCATTGGATCCCTGTCTTTCGAGAGAGGTTCTGACTCCACCAGGAGAGCTGACCTTTGGGAGGGGTCTGTCTCCTGTTCCATCTTTTGGCTATGATTTCCCTCTGGTGGCACCATCTCTACCACTTTTGGATCTGGAATTCGGCTTTCTCCTCATCAGAAGATTCTGAGCTGCCCTGTGAACCATTACTCCCTCCTCCAAAGACACACCTTCCTAGGCAGAAGGCCTGCACCAGCTTGGGACCAACCTCCACCTCATCATCTGCCTCAAAACTATTGGTACACTGTGCCATGGAGATCTCCACAACCCCACTTTGATCCATCCTATTGGCCATACTGGGGCCCATGGAACCAGTACTATCCCTCAGAGTTGGTCCAGTCTGCTAGGGAAGTCATCCCTTCTCTTCCCTTCCCTTGCAGAAGGCAACTGGACCTGTCCCCTCATCCAGCTGAGGAGGAGTATGCACCAGATCCAGAGGTTCCACCAGAACAAAACAGATGAAGCAGTGACTCCAATGTCTCCATCCCCCCCACGACGTTGAATTTTACATTTGAACAATAAATGCACCCCTCAGGGAAAAAATTAAATTCTGACACTGGTGGGAGCTTTGTTGGTGCACTGACTGGTAAGTTGGCGTGCTAGGTTATATGAGAGTAGGGAAACTGAGACAGCGGCAGGGTCTGACACTGGGTTTGAGAAGACCCTGTGTGACCTGTGGTTGCCTTGGGGTGGGGAGCACACTGAGAATGCTCAATCAGGGCAAACTGCAAAGAATGGGGCAGACAATCCCCCAACTGATGGTTATTTATTCTAATAATTACATTCACCAAGCCAGCAACAAAACAGCTTCTACAACACCTTACTGGTTACTCAGAAGCCATAAACACAGCTCCCTTTAAGCAATCCAGCCTTGGGCTCCCACCCAGACAGCCAAGTCAAATGTGATGAGGATTACTGAAAGTCTTGTTCATCATATATAAAGGTCTGCCAATTAGGGATGTAAAAGGTTAGCCGATAAACATTAGTCTTAGCGGTTAACCTGCCTTAACCATTAACCCCGGGCTCACCAACCCCGTGCCAGCCCACCAACCCCAGCTGTGCTGCCTGGCCGAAGTGGCCCCAGCCACAGTTAACCATTTAGACAAAATATTTTAAATAATTTAAAAGGTTACAAATGGTATTAACATCCCTACTACCAATCCCAAGGGCTCAGACACATTACCTTCGAGGTCAATTAATATTTCAGATTTTACCCAAATACAAACCTTCAGCCAATTCTTATTAACTAAACTAAAAATTATTACAAAAGAAAAGAGAGAGTATTGTGGTTAAAAGATCATTATACATACAGATTATTAATAAAGTTTGTAGGTCAGTTTCATAGTAGAGATGGTGAGCTGCTGAGTTGCAAAAAAAATTCTTTCCCGAATCAGTCCATCAGGTTATAGTCCAAATAGGCAGTCCATATAGAGAGTTTGTTCAAATTCTTCCATGAGAAGTAGCAGTGTAATCCAGACTGACGCTAGAGACCTCAGTTTTCTAACTCAAGCTTCCCCTGACCAAGCTTAAGCAGAGCTGAGATAACAGGATCAGAGCCCTAGGCAGGCTATCGATAGCCTCTTGACAGCAGGTATTCCTTGGGTGAAGCATTGTGACCTTGAAGTAAAACTTTGTATTTCCTGTGTATACACAGGTAATTAGTTGCATTCATCAGCATAAGGTAGTTATCCATTAAGCAGTTCATAGACAGTTTACTACAAATTTCAAAGAGAAATCTAGACAATGATATTATTACACCCAAGTTCTGTTTAAATGTTAATATCCCCGTTTGATCTCTGAATCAATAGAAAATAGTGACAGACAGGAGCTGTCTGGTTATATTGTTAACCTCTAACAATGTATAGGTGTAAACAGACCAATACAATCACAATCTTCTTCCAATTCTCTAACAATACAAGTCTACATTTCAAAGCACTAGTCTGTCTAACATGGCTTTAACTATTTATAAGGAATGGCCCCAATTACAATTTACATACTTTTCTGATATGGCTTTAAAAGTTGAATTTGGGTCATTTAGCCTGCAAGTTGCTGAACCCTTTCAGACTAAGTGTCACACCCTTTTACACAGTACTGTATATGTACACTCTTGGATAAGAAAGTACAGTGGCCTTATCATAGCCTACTGCATATTCAAGTTGGATAAACGGATTTTATTTTTTACAAATAACCATTTCTTTTTCTTTGTGTTTCTTGAATGAAAACCACAATATTATGTCCTTGTCCTCAAAGGAAACATGCACAACACCTTCAAAAGACAAACCTGGGAGCTTAAATTCCTAACTCTGCTAGACACCAAAAATCATGGAGTTAATAGGGACACTGGTTTTATGTCTCTTTACAACCATTTGTAACCCACTAACCACCACCTCTTGTTCCTATGGCTATGGGTGTTAATGGCCCACTTCATTTTGAATGGTACCTTATAACGTGTGTTAACGCTTATGCTTAACAATCATTCCACCTACCATTTAGCTGTGACCTCTGAGTACCTGTCCCAGAGCTGAAGAAGATCTCTGTGCAAGCTCGAAAGGTTGTCTCTGGGCAGGTCTACACTACAGCTGGGATCGACGCTCTGAGATCGATCCACTGGCGGTCGATTTAGCGGGTCTAGTGAAGACCCGCCAAATCGACAACCGATCACTCTCCAATCGACCCCTGTACTCGACCCCCGATGAGAAGAGTAAGTTAAGTCAACAGGAAAGTTTCTCCCGTTGACCCCCTGCAGTGTAGGCCCTGCGGTAACTTGACCTAAGGTATGTCAACTCCAGCGACATGAATAACATAGGTGGAGTTGCGTAGCGTAAGTCGACTTACCGTGGTAGCATAGACATAGCCTAAGTCTCTTTCAACAACAGAAGTTGGTCCAATAAAAGCTATTACCTCACCCACTTTGTCTCAACCACAGTACTAATCATTCTCTTTTTAAGAAAAGATACAAAACAGTTAGCTCTTTTGTTTGACTTTCCACGTTTGTTTAGCTTATTTTTCTCGTGTAAGCTGTCTATTGGCAGTCCATTAATGACTTTTGCACTTGATCCAAATGGGAAAGAGTGACTTTTTTTTTTCAATTCCCTTACAGAACCAGTGATTAAGTTCTCCAAAATCAAACACAGCATTCAGGAGCCTCAGGAGCCTGGAGAGATTGCAGTCGTAAAGATCTCCATTTTACGTCTGGGTGACAGCTCAAAAGTATCTGTTGTGCGAATCCACACAAAAGATGGCTCTGCCACCTCTGGGGAAGACTATAATCCAATGTCTGATGGTAAGGATTGTCATGGAATTATTGAAATGCCAGTTCAGGAAGTTATCATGCAAATGAATGAAGTATAGCGAGCAGCAACATTATTGGCTTTACATATAATTCCCTAATTCTTTTTTAAAAATGACTCTAGCGATTCATGTGTCTTGTATCAGATGACAGTAGACTCAAGTGTACTTAGGCTCAGTCATTCAGCAGGACCACTTCAACAGTTTAACAAGCTCCTATACTTTATAGCCCCCTCTGAATGTTTGGAACCAACAGAAAAGCCGAAGTGTTCCATTCAAAAGCCGAAGTGTTCCATTCCAACATGACGTGTCATTTGAACATCCACGATAGAGAAAACAGTGATTCTGCTATTGATTAGGAAAAAAGGTTAATTTGTTTGTCTTTAAACCAGACATTGAATTCAAAGAAGGAGAAACTGAACATATTGTTGAAGTTGAGGTCTTATACGATGGAGTGAGAGAAATGAGAGAAGCATTTACAGTCCACTTGAAACCAGATGAGAATATGGTGGCTGAGACACAGGTAACGATGGGGGATTTTTTTGTTTTGTTTTGTTTTTAATTTTGTTATGTCTGTTTGGTTTGGTTTGTATGCTTGTTTTTTAAACCCAGTCAGTGTTTTAAATATCCCTTTATTCATTAATAACAAATACTTTTTTTTATTTAGATTGCAAATTTTTCAAAAAAAATTTCCCTGTGATAATATGCAGTAATTGTAGGGCTATTTCGTGAAATATAGAGCTCCAGATTTTCAAAGGCTTCCCCCTTTCTACATTCTTTCCCCTCAGGCGACATACTTAGGGCAGTGTGTAGAGTACAGGCACTGCATGCCCAGATAACATGGGTATAAACAGCAGCGTAGGTGAGGCATGGCTTACATGAGTAGAGTGCCCTATACACCTGAACCCCCAAAATATATACCCTACACAGCTCTCTACATATCCAAACAGTGCCTCCCATATCTAATGGCTATTTTTAGCAGTGTCCTTCTGCCTTCCCCTGCCAGAGCCTTTCCCTGCCATACTGAAGGGGTCTGGGGGTGGGAAAAGACTCCAGCAGCAAAGAGCTGCTGGAGCCTTTCCTCACGGCCTGACTCTTTCCCTGCTGCCTCCCCCCTAACAGAGCCTTTCACTGCGGCATGTATCTACAAATGTGGTTCCTGTGCTCTACATGCTGCCTTAAGTGTAGATGTAGCCTCAGATTTTCAGTGTGCCTATTTAGTTGCTTAAATAGCCAATACATGCATGACAGTCTGGTGTTCATGCTTACACATGGCCAGCTAGGTCCCTAACTGGCTGTGCAGATGCACATGAATTAGATACAAATGGAGGTATCAAACTTTGAAAACTGGCCCCGGAAACAGTGAATTATAGATCCAGTGATTTCAGTGTGATTGTCAGATGGAGGGAGAAAAAGAGGAATGCAGTGATTTCCCCATCCATATGACATTGGTTTCTGCTCTCTGGCTTTATAAAATGCAAATCATTCTGCAGCAGTTTACTGACTTTGATCTCAGTTACAGACAGGGCAAACCATGACAGAGGCTGCTACAATAGTTAGGATCCAGCTTTTAATATTTGTAAAGGACAAACTGCATGGTGTGGAGGGCTCTGTATGCAACAGACACAATGCTGTTCTGACAGGAAGTTTTGGGGGATCCTGAGCAGTGTTCCATATCCCTCAGCACTGCAGAGTATGGGTCCATAAAGACTCCTTCTGAATCTCCATGGGTGGAGATTTGGGGACAGGGCTGAGGTGGGTCTGGGACAAACAGGGTAATGATGTGGAGCCCCTGGCCATTCCTTTCTACTCCATGGAAGTGCAGAAGGGAAGCACCGTGAGTTTGGAGGCTACTGCAACCCAAAAGGTCCTGGTTCCTTGGACTGTATTCTAGAGACTGGATTTGGCTTCAGCTCTTTTTACAGCTTCTTGTTTTGTAACTATATTGTGACACTTCCTGGGGGTACCTAGGGTTGTGAGGCACCTCGCCGCCGCCCACCCTTAGCACGAGGAAGTCTTGGTTGTGCCTGGTGTGGATCAGCTCCCTGAAACCACCAGCCTCTGGCAACACACACACTGCCTTACAGGCCTCACTCTCTCCGTACAGGTTAGCGACAGGCACACACCACCTCCTGAGTCCTCAGAGTATTCCCTGTAGTGTCCAGCCCCTTGTGCACTGAATGCTCTACAGATTTATCAGCTTACTGGTCACAATACACCGCAGCTTACCTTAGAACACAGCTCTGCTGAACACTCAGCACTTTAGATATATTTATAGTGAAAACAAGACTAAGTTAATTATCAAAGAACAGAGATTCAAGAGATAGTGAGTAAGAATATTGGAAACAAACGGTTACATATCAAACAAAATCATAACAAGCTTCCTAGAGACCAAGCTTAACTAACAGGCTATCCTTCTTTCTAAAAAAGCTTCTCTCACCCAAAGTTCTCTCCAGCATTTTCAACCAAGTCTGATTGAGATTCCTTTTTTTCATGAAGCAAATTTGCTGTCCATTTACTGACTAGGTGAAGGATGCCAAGGTGTGTCTTTGAACCCCTAAATATATCAGCACAGCCCTTCGAGGTGCACCTCAAGCTTGGGTTCCCTCCTCCCGCTGTTTACCTCTTCCTGTTTCTTTCCTCTGTTTGAAGGTTTCACAATCCCTCTTTTGTATTCAGTTCAGACTGGTGAGGGGAGACCTTTAGTGAACCATACAATACTTAATTTACATGTAAACAGACAGATACATAAACATTTCTTGCCTGAAAGAAGACCTGTTTTTCACTTTGCTGGTGACAAGTCCCTAGACACAGACCTTAAGAACATAATTTTCAATATATACACGTAATTCCTTACACAACATCTGTACACTCGTTTTGCAGTGATATTGATGCCCAGTATGACTCAAGCTTTCATCAGAAACCTCACAGGACATTCTTTAGGGAACTAGAATGTAAATACCAGGCCCTGGGGATTCCTGTAACCCTCATGTACCTCTTGTGCCCTTTGCCAATTGGCATCAAGAGATATCTGGGTAACGTATATATAACAGTGTGTGCATGTATTGCAATAGATACTACAATCCTAGGATACGTTATACCATTCCTATACTTCCACCAAGGTAAACTCAAAGTAGGCCAAGATTTTAAAAATTGGGAGCCTAAAATTAGGTTCTTAAATCCGTATTTAGGCACCTAAATAAGCAGCCAGATTTTCAAAAGTGCTGAGCACCCAGAAGCACTGTTGAAATCAACTGAAGCATCAGGTACTCAACACCTGTGAAAATCAGGCTGAATTCATTTAGGAACCCAAATGTGGATTTAGGAACCTAACATTAACCACCCTTTATAAAACAATCTTGCCCCTTATACTTACCTGGATTCATGCACATGCAGCTGTTGGTATCAATGGCACCTGAATATGTGGAGAAAGCATTTAGAATTAATCTTTACTCTTGCTCCCAATAATTATCTTTCCCTTCACAGGCACAGGGGCGGTGTGATATTCATTAATAGTTAATTGTGTGTGAACGGACCTTATACAGAGAGACTCAAAACTTAGGGGGGGGTTTTAACATCAGACGATCCTTTTATAGGCAGGATCAATGGGCAACAGTTGACGAACACTCTGGGGGGGGGGGGAAACGAACGAATTTCAGAGGCAGAGTCCAGCTGCAGCACTACGTTTTCTCCGTTTTCAGTTGCAGTAGTAACCTTTTCGTTCTCACAATTCAGATGAACAAAGCCATTGTGTACATCGAAGAAGTGAACAGCATTGCAGATGTGACTTTCCCAGCTGTGCCCCAGGTTGTATCGCTCCTGATGTACGATGACACTTCTAAAAGCAAAGAGAACCCACATCCTCCAACTGGTTACCCTATTGTGTGTGTAACGGTATGAACTGTTCCTGCATGGTTTTGTCTAAACGATATTACTTACTAGTGGCCTAGAAGGCATTTGGTGCTTGTCAGGCTGCAAATAGAGAAAAAAGAACTCCTGGATAAGAACTACAAGTAGCAGCCAGTTACTATGGGCTATTGTTGACCTGAGTGAGTTTGGGAAGCCCTGACAATCATAGCCATGATTTTAAAAAAACCAAAAAACTCCATGTGTGCACATGCTTGTTTAGTGTATTCTACAGCAACGGCTCTGACATTGTAGTAATTTACACTTGTACAGTGTAGTGGTTTGGATGAATGCTATAGAGTACTATAGTATTTTTTTATAAGGGCAATCCTAGGAAGAACTTACAGTCTACAGTAAATTAGTTTACCTATACAGTTGGATCAAGCCTCCAGTGAAGTTTCTGCTTTCTTAAGGTCTCCTGCCAACAGGGTAACAGCAGTGCAGCTATGTTGTTGTACATAAATAATAATTATTAGTCCTTTACAGAGTGGTTTCCAGGGTCAAAGTGCTGTACGGACATTAATTTAGTATTCCGCACACGCCCCTGGGAAAAGGTGGGTAAGAAAATCAGAGAAACTAAGACTGGAAGGTCACATAGAACCAGGATTAGAGTTCAAAGCTTAATCATTCAGGCCCCACAACATCACTGTGACTTAGGTATGTAAAGGTGCGTCTACACTTACTGGGGTGTGCAGAGTACAGACACGGCACACCCAGCTAGCACAGATATAAATAGCAGGGTGGATGGTGAGGCATGGTTTAAGCAAGTAGAGGGCCCTTCATGCCTGATCTCCCACCCGCCACACCCAGGTAGTGCCTCCCATGTCTATTTTTAGCGAAGTATCCTGCTCTTTCCCCCCAGGCAGAACCTTTTCCTGTTGCTTCCATCTTTGTGGAGCCTTTCACTGTTGCATGTAGCTGCACATTACAGTGACAAGTGGTGACACAGCTTGCCTTTCACTGCGATGTGTGGTTGCTCAGACCCTGCAGACCATATAGATAAGGCCTAAGTCCCCTTATTTTACTGATTTAGGAATGAAGACACAGAGATTGACCAGAATTTTCAAACCTGGATGCCTAAAGCTAAGCACCCAACTCCATCTTTAGACACACAAATAAGTGGCCTGATTTTCAGAGGTGCTGAGCCCTGTAGCTCCCATTATGTTCCAAGGTTGAGCAGCAAAGGGAGATGCGGTTAGCAAGTACATGATAAAGTGAAGAGTTTTCCACACTTCCCCTTCTTAAATTTTGAAGTCCCAGACCTTCGCTCCTGTCTCCTCAATCGAGTTGTGTGACAGAGAACTCTAACTGTAAAAAGAAGGTGTTAAGTTCTGAAACTTTACCAGAAGTAGGTATTAGAACAGCATTTAATTGCTAGCTTTCCCAGAGCACACAGGCAACTAGAGATAACGCTGTATATTTTGTGTGTCTGTTAACGTGCAGGCATGTAATCCCAAGTATTCAGACTATGACAAGACTGGGTCTCTCTGTGCTGCTGAAAACATCAATGACACTCTGACCCTGTACCGCTGGCTTATCAGTGCTCCGAGTGGCAGCGAGGGTGTTACCAGCCCCCTGCGGGCAGTGGACTCCAACACCTTCTTTACCAACACCAAGTCCATCTCCCTGGACTCCATATACTTCCAGGCTGGATCAAGGGTCCAGTGTGCAGCACGGGCTGTCAGAGCCAATGGTGATGTGGGTCTGGAACTGCTGAGCCCTATTTACACAGTGAACAGAGAAGACGGTATGTGGTAACGTGTTGAATGAAAGGCAGGTGCCACATCAGCCCTGTAATGTCTGCATTTCATGTCTACCCATAATTCAGGTGTCATTCATATTGGGGGGGAGGGGTGGAATGGAGACAATGATTCATTTATTTGGCATCTATTTCTAGTGAACCAAACAGCCAGATCACTCCTGAGTGTGTCCTCTGCTTTACACTTTATATGTATGTATAGCAAATATGGATATTTCTATTTTAGACATCAAAACAGCACAGTTACCGACAATGAGTAGAGAGCAGTGAAGCCTGCTCAGAAGAACCGAAGGACTTCTGAACATGGGAACATTTAGAGATCTACAGACCAGGGCTGGTTTAAGCATAGACGCTGTAGGTCTATGCCCAGGGCCTCAGCTCCTCAAGAACGATGTGGCTGATTAGATCAGAATCTCTGTTTTCAGTTTTTTAAAGCATGTAAGTTACCCTGCCTGATGGGTGGGAAGAAGAGCTTGAAAACATGGATATGTGTGTAACTGATGCAGTGAGGTCTGCCTGAGTCTGCAGAGAGCCAGGAACAATAGCTCTGATGGTGTGAACTGCCCCATGCATCTCAGTGCGGTGTTATTTCCAAGACCCATTACTTTGAAGGGCTCTGCCTGCAATACCCCAGTGTAGAGCACTCTGTCTGTATGTCCCCCCTACAGGTAGGACTGAGCCTCCCTGCCCAATTGGACAGATTTGTATTAGCAGGGCTTGCGCTAGCATGCTTATAATAGCAGAGTGGTCATTGCTGCACCAGCAGAGGCTCAGGCTAGACACCTGAGCTCAGACTCACCCAACCCCCCGGGTCCAAGTTCAGTTGACTAGCCCAAGCCTCCGCCAGTGCAGCCACGTCCACACAGCTATTTATAGCCTGCGAGCTTGAGCCCCACTAGTGGGAGTCTGTCTGCTTGGATTGGGTGGCTCACTCCCAGCTGCAGTGTAGACATACCCTGTGGCAGGAGGAGAAGAGTGGAGCAGGCTTGGACCACTCCCCCATGGGCCTAGATACCTCCTGGCTCCTGGGGTATACTGGGAGGCCCCGTTGCTGCCACCGTTCCCTCTCTGACAGTTTAGGGGATTGGAGGCCTTTGCTGCTGCTCCTGCCTCTCTGGGAGGGAGACATCCTGCCATCACTACTCCAAGTGGACATGGAGCCCTGGCATTAGGGTTGGAGCCATGCAACAGGGACAGGAGGGTAAAGCTGGAGACACAAGGAGCGCCACATTATGGTGTGCCGGGGCCCCAGATTGCCTTAATCCAGCCCTGCTATCGACATGTAGAACAAGCTCTGACTTGCTTTTGTTTAGACTAGTGTCTCACAATTTAACAGACTCTTCATGATCTCTCCCTCTCCCCAGGTCTTTGTCAACCTCGGATCCCAGGAACGGTTGGAGCAGAACCTTTCTCAGCCAAGATTCGCTACACGGGTCCAGATGATCCCGATTACCCCAACCTGATTAAATTAACAGTTACAATGCCTCATATGGATGGTAAGCATGAAAAGGTCACAGAATTCCTTTTGTGATCAGATGCTGCCTTGGACTTTCATCTCCAGCAGCCACAGATAAGTGGCAGTCATGAGCCAAGTGTCCACCTTATAGCAAACTTGAGCATTACTTCTGGCAAAGAGGGATTTTTCTTGAAAGAAACAGCACTGTAGGCTCTTGGTTAGAGAGGTTTTCTCGTATGGTGATACATTTTTTTAGACAAAGGGAACGCAGTGGATCTAATTTACCTCGATTTCAGTACGGCATTTGATACGGTTCCACATGGAGAATTATTAGCTAAATTGGAAAAGATGGGGATCAATATGAAAACTGAAAGGTGGATAAGGAAGCGGTTAAAGGGGAGACTACAGCGGGTCACACTGAAAGGTGAACTGTCAGGCTGAAAGGAGGTTACTAGTGGAGTTCCTAAAGGATCGGTTTTGGGACCATCTTATTTAATCTTTTTATTACTGGCCTTGGCACAAAAAGCGGGAATGTACTAATAAAGTTTGCGGATGACACAAAGCTGGGAGGTATTGCCAATACAGAGAAGGACCGGGATATCATACAGGAAGATCTGGATGACCTTGTAAACTGGAGTAATAGTAATAGGATGAAATTTAATAGCAAAAAGTGCAAGGTCATGCATTTAGGGATTAATAACAAGAATTTCTGTTATAAACTGGGGACACATCACTTGGAAGTAACAGAGGAGGAGAAGGACCTCGGAGTATTGGTTGATCACAGGATGACTATAAGCCGACAATGTGATATGGTCGTGAAAAAAGCTAATGTGGTCTTGGGATGCATCAGGCGAGGTATTTCCAGTAGAGATAAGGAGGTGTTAGTACCGTTATACAAGGCATTGGTGAGACCTCATCTGGAATATTGTGTGCCGTTCTGGTCTCCCATGTTTAAGAAGGATGAATTCAAACTGGAGCAGGTACAGAGAAGGGCTACTAGGACGATCCGAGGAATGGAAAACCTGTCTTATGAAAGGAGACTCAATGAGCTAGGCTTGTTTAGCCTAAGCAAAAGAAGGCTGAGGGGAGATATGATTGCTCTCTATAAATGTATCAGAGGGATAAATACCACGGAGAGAGAAGAATTATTTAAGCTCAATACCAATGTGGACACAAGAACAAATGGATATAAACTGGCCATCAGGAAGTTTAGACTTGAAAGTAGACGAAGGTTTCTAACCATCAGAGGAGTGAAGTTCTGGAACAGCCTTCCAAGGGAAGCAGTGGGGGCAAAAGAAATATCTGGCTTCAAGACTAAACTTGATAAGTTTATGGAGGAGATGATATGATGGGATAGCTTAATTTTGGCAATTAATTATCTTTTGACTATTAGCGGTAGATATGCCCAATGGCCTTGATGGGATGTTAGATGGGGTGGGATCTGAGTTACTGCAGAGAATTCTAGGTGACTGGTTGGTGAGTCTTGCCCTCATGCTCAGGGTTTAGCTGATCGCCATATTTGGGGTCGGGAAAGAATTTTCCTCCAGGGCAGATTGGCAGAGGTCCTGGGGGTTTTTCACTTTCCTCTGCAGCGTGGGGCACGGGTCACTTGCTGGAGGATTCTCTGCACCTTGAAGTCTTTAAACCATGATTTGAGGACTTCAGTAGTTCAGACATAAGTTAGGGGTTTGTTCCAGGAGTGGGTGGGTAAGATTCTGTGGCCTGCATTGTGCAGGAGGTCAGACTAGACGATCATAATGATCCCTTCTGACCTTAAAATCTATGATTCTATGATTAGGTCCTATCCACAGTATGGAACATACTTCGTTTAAATCTGTTTTCAAACCCTGTTACAGCCTAGTATGTTATCACATGCTTTGCCGCTGAACCAGAAACTATTACAAAAATCTTGTTACACACAGGCTGTGTCTACACAGCAATAAAATACCTGCAGCTGGCCTCTGCTGACTCAGGCTCATGCAGCACAGGCTGCAGGGCTATAAAATTGCAATGTGGACATTCGGGTTCAGGCTGGGCATCTGCACTGCCATTTTATAACCCTGCAGCCAAAGCCCAAGGCCACTGACTCGGGCCAGCCACAGGTGTTTTATTGCAGTGTAAACATACTCACAGTAGGCTGGGTCCTCCTCTCATTTACACTGGTGTAACTCCACTGACCTCAACAGAGTTATTCCTGGCTTAAAGCAAAGTGAGAGGAGAATCAACTTCATGTTTAGAAACCATGCTATACACCAGTGGTGGGCAACCTGCGGCCCGTCAGGGTAATCCACTGGCGGGCAGCCGGACCGTTTGTTTACATTTGCATGGCCGCCTGCAGCTCCCAGCGGCCAGTGGGACTCTCGCCCGCACGCACATCCCCAAACTCCCATTGGCTGGTTTCTGACCAATGGGAGTGTAGAGCCAGTGCTTGGGGCCGGGGTAGTGCACGGAGCCCCATGCTGCTGCCTCCTCCCCCCAGCCTAGGAGCCGGACCTGCTGCTGGCCACTTCCAGGGTGCAATGCAGTATCAGAACAGGTAGGGACTAGCCTGCCTTAGCTGGACAGCACCACTGATGGGACTTTTAATGTCCCGGTCGGCAGTGCCGACCAGAGCAAGGCGACCCAGTGCCTTACATGCCATGCCAGTACTGGGGTGCGACCCTCGGTTTGAAAAACACTGCTATAGACTGTTTGTAGAAGGTAGCTGCTGCAGTTTGGGCTAGCATGGGTCTAAAAACCAGTGTGTTAGAATTCTGCTAGCAACTGCCTGGTTGGAATGATTGGAAAAATGTGGTTGACAGCCATCTTCGAACAAGGGAGTTGTTATGTAGGTCTAGTAGAACCATGTGTGTTAAATGTTTTGTAACACAGTTATTAGTAGCATGGCTCAAAGTAGAGGCAAGGCCTTTGCCTCTTATGTTTTCAGAACAGAGGTTTGCCATGGAAATTGCTTTCATTTGTTCAAGGGGCACTTTATCTAGACTGGTTTTTGTTAGGAAACTGAGCCATTGCTGAACATGGTTTTCCACAATAGTGTAGGTGTTAGCCTTCGCGAGACAAAATCATTTCCAATACCATCGTAGAAAGCATATTTGAGTCTCGGTAATACTCACTGAAACTATTCAAAAGATACATTCAGGCCTAAAACCTTTTCAGTACCAGTACATGGTTGAAGCATTGCTGAAAAAACTTTGGTCAGCAACGTTTCAGTTTTCTACTATGAACAAGGTTTCCATGCAGTTCTCTGTATTATTGCTATACGGCTACAGCGACAGGGATTAGGCATCTAGGCAGTTGCAGGGACGTCTGCATTTAACCCTTTAACAGCCGAAGCCAAATTTTTCTGAAATGTAAAGTTTGCTATCCGCAATGGATTTTGTACTTAGGGTCGTTGTTACACAAGACATAGTGAGCCACCAAAAAAAAAAATCACCTGGAACAAACACAGCTAATATACATAGCATACTTCACATACTCATAAGCCATAGTGGAAGTCCTTCTGGAACAACATGGTGAATCCGTGACGTTCATACTGTCTCCAAACTCACAAATGTACAGAAGTGTACATATGGCCTTATAGCCTCAGAATGTTCCCATGTAGCAGAAGGGTGAAGTTTTCCCTACCCCATTTATGATGTCAGAATTGTCAGTACATTTGCAAGATGCTTAGAACATGTGACCAGTCAGTCTCATCAGCTGAGAATGCTAAATGGACTGTGTGCATTGTGTTTCAGGAATGCTGCCTGTCATCTCAACTCATCCGTTATCCAACTTCGAGCTGACTCTTAGCCCTGATGGCACTCGTGTGGGCAACCACAAGTGCTCCAACCTTCTGGATTATAATGAGCTCCAGACCAAACATGGTTTTGTTACAGATGAAACCAAGAACCCTGAAGTGATTGAGGAAACGTCACCCTACCAGTACAGCAACTCTCTGCGATCTACTAAGACCTTGCGTTTTTACCGTAACCTCAACCTGGAGGCCTGCCTCTGGGAGTTCAACAGCTACTATGCTGTGTCTGAACTGCTGACTGACTGCGGTGGCTCCGTTGGCACCGATGGCCAGGTATGTGTCACTGCGGAAGCACTTGCACAAGAGACAGAAATGTTGAAGAACCAAGTCCAAGCAAGAAACACTTCTTTATTTTATAAGAAAAGCGTTAGCCGCTATACAGATCACTTGATACAAATTCTCACAAGAAAGGTTCAGCTGTCCTGGGCGCAATTCCTTTAGAACAATTTAGAGACATTCAGAAGTCCCCAGAACCCATTCAGTTTCCTGTATTTCATTTGTTGATAAATAGCTTCTCCATCAGTTGCTCCACTCATTAAATTAGTCTCCTCTCTAATGACTAATCCAGCGAGGTGCTGAGTGCCCTCAATTTCTGCTGAAATACCATTGGGAAGAGACAGTGGGCCAGATCCTGACTCCCAGTCTGGCTGCTTTGCACCAATCGGTTGGAAATTGCAGGCTGGCATCCAGCTGGATAATAGCATATCCTGGCACCAGGTGTAGGGAGTGTGGCCAGCTCACCTTGCATCCTTCTGATTTCTGGCTGCCTTTATATTCCTTCCATCCATACTGTACTGAGAGAAGCTCAGTTGGACTGGCAGATTTAGCCCAGTATAGCCAGAGTGATTATTTGCATAACCACAAATTCCCTTTCTAGATTTTGTCTGAAGTAGTGTAAGGAGGAAATAGAGAGAGATGAAAAGTAGAAGAGCCACCTCACTCCTCTCTGACTTCCAATAGAAAGCTACTCTTTCCTGGCTTAAATAAAACAGTGCTCTGTTAATTAGTAAACCCTGACAATTAACCCAACTAGGAAGTGAGACAAGATCTGGTTTTAAAACAACTGCTCCTTTATAAGAGTGTCTGTGCTGTTTATTTTCTTTCCCCCACTGTTTTAAATACATTAAAAAGCACTTTGAGATCTACTGATGAAAAACAATACAAGAGCTAAGTGGTATTATCATTATTTATTTATTTTATTACTTGCTGGAGCACTGTACCTCTGCATGCTGCCATGATTAATTTTTCAGTGCGGGTTTTACACATACACACCTTGTGTGTGTGTGATTCCTGTTGGCTGCTGCTCCTAACCTGGGTGTGAATGTGCCTGTAGACTTCCGCTTTTTTTGTTAACCCAAAATATTTCTTTTTCCAAGTGTGCTCGCGCACACAATATCAACCAAATTATCTTTATTTGCTACATTGGTGCAAACAAAGGCAGAATTTGGCCCTGTTGACAATATATACATAACGTATTGTCAGAAGCCTCATAACTCTCTTGTGTGCACTTTTAGACTATGGAAAGAAAAGAAACCCCTTCATCAGTTCTTAAAGTGGGAGTTCTAATTATGGACAGAGTCACAGTGCTCAGTCATTTTAGCAATGACTGCACTTTGGTAGTGCTGCCAGACAGGTGACAGAACATAGCCAGAGGCCTGGATGCTGGAAATTAAAAAACACACACAGACATCCACTTTCCTGAGAATAACCAACCATGATCCCAGACTTCATTATGTATGAATTACTAGAATGTCCAGCAAAGGCCAGACATGCCAGTAACTGCACCCAGAGGTGGTTTAGAAAAGGCCTTGATATAACCGAGTTCCATTATAATCAGCCACCTTAATGAGAAGTCCAATGGGACTAGAGCTTGGGGGACTAGAGCCAAAATGTGTATGTATAGACTCTCCCACTCCAACCCCATCATGGATAAAACAGAGGAGAGACTCCAGTCTGGAATTTTGGTTCAATATACTATAAAGACACGTGCCATTTTCAAAATTGGGTTTTCGATCCACGTTCTGTTTTTCAATGCCTCAAAAGTATGTGGTTGTCAAATCTGGCTTTTGGTGCAGCCCATCTCTAACACCATGCAACTTGTAATCAATTCTGAAAGAAAAAACAAAAAGCAACAAAACTTGGCTATTGCTAATTCTGAAAGGACATCAGCTGTGTTCAGTTTGAAAAGGTGCTTTGAATAAGGAAGAGCTTAGTGTATTTCCAGAGCTTAGTTTCATTTCCAGAATTTTGGGCTGAAGTGTACCAGAGTTCACTCGTGAAGGTGAGCTTGCGAGTATCTATTCCATAATGGATATGTCTGTATATCCCAGAACGACTGTAGCGTTTGGAACAACTCTTAGGTCAGTGCCAGAGCTGCAGCCCAAGCTGATGTGCTTCAGCCTATGCCATAACTCTCTTCCGTTGACGTGCCCTGGAAGTCACTCCCAAAGGCAGAAAGTAGGTTTGTAAACACATTGAGTAAAATGTGTGGAGGGTCTGAAATGTAAGCAATGCAAATGGCAAAAAAGAAGAGACATTTCCATACATTTGACTAATTGAAGATATAAAAGTGAATTAGGTGTTTTCTTATGGTTGACAAATTACAATGAAAGCTAGAATGAAAGTTTGGCAACTAACTTCTCAGCATTAGACAGAAGTGCAGTAACCTTCTGCCCTAATGGTTTTCAGGTATTAAATCTGGTGCAATCCTATGTCACGCTGCGGGTGCCCCTCTATGTCTCCTACATCTTTCACTCTCCTGCTGCCGTTGGTGGCTGGCAGCACTTTGACTTGCAGTCGGAACTGAGACTCACCTTTGTATATGATACCGCCATCCTTTGGAAAGATGGCATAGGCAGCCCACCGGAATCAGAGCTCCAAGGTCAGTTCTTGCTGCTTTCCTTCTTATTTTTAGACTCGTCCCATCATGGCCCCCTTCCTTCCTGGGGGAAGCATACGGCAGTTTGTGTGATTAAATCAAGACTCCTCCTGGCCTTGAGAATCACACAAAAAGCAGCATCAAGGCCAATTCCCACTATTAAAATACCCAAAGAATAAGGTTGTTTGTTTTTAATTCCATATGTTGTTGAATTAGATATTTTAAAAGTTTTCCCCAAACATATAGCCCTTTAAATCTACCACAGAATGAGTAAAAACAATAGACAGCCCCATTTTAGAAATAGATAACAGAGGGTAGATAACACATTTTTAGGAGGGTAAACCCCCAGAGTGCTAGATGGATGTAGGTTTACAAAACAATGGACAAGCCCCTGTGTTAATGGAAATGTTTGAGTGTCAGCAAAAGAGCGATCCTACTGGAAATTGAGCCAGAAGCCTTTGTGTTAAAGCTTGAAGACAAACTCAGTGGACCTTATTCTACTCCCACTGGTACTTGTTTTACACTAGTGTAATTCCATTTACTTCATAACAGACTCAGTGTGAAGGTGAGGTCAGGGTGGTCAGCAGACATCACCATTGATGACAGAGAAGTACCTGTAGAAGTTTTACTTCAGCTGAGCTACCCTGATTTATATCAGTGTAACTCTTAATCTGTCCCAGTGGAGCAGACCCTTAGTTCTATTAAAGTCAGTTAGTCTGAATATCAGTCACAGTAAGGTTCTATAATGCAGGAGGGTTTAGATCACCCAGAGAGTGCCAGAACTTAGCAACCTATTTCATTTCCCCAAATACTGACACTAACAAAGAGCCTTTCTTTCAAAAAGCAAACTGAAAACCATTCTAGGTAGACACGATGGCTTTTTTCCGTCTAGGTTCCCTCTACCCAACCAGCATGCGAATCAACGATGAAGGGCGATTGGTGGTGAATTTCAGGACTCAGATTTGGTTCCGAGGACAGCTTGTAATGTCTCACCCAAGTAAGTACTTGGTCTCTTCTCCTGGACTAGTATCTCCAGGAGACATGACAGCCATCTGGAGCACCGTCTGTTCCCGATGGAAGGGAGGTGTTTTATAACAAAGACCGTGTTTCAACAGATGGGGGGGAAAGGAAATTGAAACCATTCTTCTCAGGGATGGCGGAGATTCCTTTGTGTCGGCTGTCATTGTGTGCTGATTGATGCTGATGCCTTCCAGGATATAACTCACCCTTCGCTTCTACAGGTACTTCTCTGTCATCGATGGTGCTGTCTGCTGACCGCCCCGACCTCACCTTCACACTGAGCCTGTTACGAAGTGAGCCAACCTTCCACCAGCCCGTGCAGCAGTGGAGCTTTAGCTCAGACTTTGCTGTGAGTTCCCATTCAGAGTGGGGATTTGGGGAGGCTGCAGTAGGCAGGATTGACTTCTGGTCTGGTGAAAGCTGTCCTGCCGTGGGTTCTACAAAATCAATCCGAGTCTGTTCACATAGATTTGATCAAGGATATAACAACGACGATCATTTAATGCTTGCCAGCTTCCAGCTGCTTTACTTTTATATAATGAATGATCACAACTCCCTGGTGTGGTGTATAGATATTATTATCCCCAGTATACGGATGGGGGGAAGAAGAGTAAATGATTTGCCTAAGATAAGACAGAATTTAAGTGACTTGTCCAAAGGGAGTCATTGCCAGAGAAATCTGACACGACAGTCGTGGGAGTCATGTAAGTAAATAGGTACAATCATGGCCCTGACTCTACATTGTAATCTGTGCAGGCGGACCGTGTGGATTACAATGGAGGTTTGGGGCCTAGGGTTGGAATGGCTAAGACAGGAAAATTATGGAAAAGGAGAAATTATACAATAGCTCTTTTGATATGCAGGTTCAACATACACAGCTCAGACTAGAACTCCGGTCTCGTGGCTCCCAGTTCTGACTCCTATCGATTGAACTGTCTTGCTTCCCTGAGAAAAGTATTTACAATTGGGTGTCCTTGTGTACATATGACACTGTTAAGTAGGAAGGTAACAGATAGAAGACCTATGCCTTTGAATAGACATGCTGTTTAGACTGAAGGATTACAATAAAGGTAGTGGCAGTGCCCTGTATTTTGAACTGAAGCACTGGTTGTTCAGAGACTATGGAGCAATGTTCGCTTTCTAATGTTGTGGATTTTTTTTGCTAGGTACGAGACTATTCTGGCACTTATAGTGTAAAATGTATCCCATGTACTGCTGCACCCAACCAGGAATATACCCTTCCTATCACCTGTAACCCGTGGGAACCAATCACCTTCGAAGTGGATATCAGGTTCCAACAGGTACAGCATTTTTATTGAAGGTTAACTGTTTAAATGCCGTACTTGTCTTCATGCATTCAAATTGCTGTAGAGCTGTGTTTGTCTGGTGTATCTCACGCTGTGCCATGACAATTAAACTAATATTTTTCATTTCCTTCCTTCACAATTTATTATAGCCTGGGGCTCAACTACTTCATATTTTTTACACCGTGTTTATGAGAGCTGTTCGTGGATATTAAAAATTGAGCAGGCTGAAAATAAGATCATTTGTGTTCATAACCCCACTTCTTTTAATGCTGAGGCCCTAGCTATAATGGAGTGGAAAATCAGGCCTGTACACTTGACACTTCGTTCAGATTTGTCATGGACATGTGCCTATTTAAATCAGAATATTCCTGTGCTTATGAAAGTAATTAAATGGTATGAATGAACATAGTGTCCCGTGAATTACCTCTGTTGTGTTATAGGATGTCTTATGTGTAGCAGACTCTCCCTTTCGGTGGATAGAAGGAGCATCTAGGTAGCAGTTAAGCAAGAGGATTGCAAAACTGAGCACATCTTCCCACTAAACTGCAGTGTGGCTGTAATTTTCAAATATCCAGAATTTAGGCTTGTAAAGCCTTATGTAGGCACCTAAATTAATGCATGATTTTATAAAATGCTACACACCCAACAGCACCTACTGATTTCAGTGGGAGTTGCACAGTGCTCATCTTTTTAAAAATTAGGCCCCTAACACAGGTGCCTAAGTAAGTATTTGTATGCCTAATTTTAGGCACCCAGTCCTGAAAAATCTGTGTCAGTGTAAATAGGACTCTTATTTATTACGTGGTAATTAATTATATGAAAAAAATGTACTAAATCAGCATTATGGCTGTAAGCAGACAAGGTCAAGAAACTAAAAAATATGCCTTCCACAGTAGCGTAGTCATTACTCAGCCATATAGAGGTACATAGAGGAAGTTAACACTTTGTACCATGATTTATGTGGTAAGGAAGGGGTTAGGGTTGCTGTGTGAATAATTTTGAATTATTTTCAGACCTATGCAAATATGCAATCTTAAGGTTATAGCAGTAGGGTTTGACTTTTTTCCTGAATTAAAAATAATTTAATACATGGAAGAACATGACTCAGGGGATTGGGTTGTGGCACTTGGAGCTTAGGTTGTTAGTTTGAATATGACCAAAAGTCATTACTGAGTGTTTGGCATATGTGAAATGAGTTGGTGTGATCAATCCAGCTTCACTGGTCATGGTCTGACTCCTAGAGTTGATGCCACCCCATCTGGTTCAACCGGTGGGAAACTTGATAGGCATAGGGCAAGCGGGGTGGTAGACAGCCCCAGAAGGAAGGAGTGGGGGCAAGGTGCACCCTAGAGGAACACAGGCTGAAAGAGAGAGGTTTTCAAGCTTCACAGATCTTCTTCATGACACATTATCATTCATGGGACCAGTGCCAGAGCTCATAGAGCTCTTAAATGATGATTTTATCCCATTTTATCCTGTACAGCAACCCTGCATGTATTAATTTTATGTTCGGATTTGAGATGTACAGAGTACTGAGTGATCTGATTAGCTGAACATCACAGAATCTGCAGTAAGCACTGACATTTGTAAAACTGTAGCTAGATTTCAGAGCTTCTTTTTTTTTTTGCCACAGGTCAGTGACCCAGTAGCGGCTGAGTTCAGTCTCAATACACAAATGTTCCTGCTGTCCAAGAAGGAGCTCTGGCTATCCAATGGCTCCATGGGATTTGGGGAAGGAACGGATGTGGCGTTTGCTGAAGGTAAGCACATCTTTTAGTAGCCCGCATCCCATTGTACTACATACTGCTAATCTGTTATGGACACGGAAATAGCTCTACTTTGAACAATAATTGAATGTTTCTTTTACTCATTTCTATAGCACCTATTACAGAGGCACCTGTGTGGTGCTTGTGGGATTTCTAAATGTTTATCAAAGGCTAAACAAAATAAATTATTCTTGCCCTGAATGTTGTTAGACTGTAGCTCTGGTGTGAGCAAATTCAAGACAGATAGGGCCACTTAATTGGGAAGATCCTACCACCAGAAAAGTAGAGCTCACTCTCTCAAGTAACTGGGAGCCTCACCCATAACAATCACCATCACAATGAATTGCAACCAGAAGTAGGAAGCCAGGGCAAAGACTTGAGCACACGTTACGTGTTTTCACGTTGTGCACTGACTGGAGTTCTGGATGTGCTCCAGGGATTCATAATAAAGTTCAATTATGCCAATATTACAGCACAATTCATTATGTGCGTAACTGGTCTCCAACACAAGACCTCCTTATGAAACCTAGATAGTCTGCTAGATCAGTAGGTTAGAGAGACAGGGCGGGGAAGGTAATATCTTGGATTGGACCAGCTCTGTGTAAGCTCAAAAGCTTGTCTCTCTCACCACAGAAGTTGGTCCAATCCAAGATATTACCTCACCCTTCTTGTCTCTCTAATATCCTGGAATGGACCTGACTACACCAACACTTCATAGATCAGTAGTTTGTTACTTGAGCATAATAGCTATCATGTTGGATACCTTTTTACGTGGCTATGGGTTGCCCCCTTGTGAGAAGAAGAAAAAAGCCTGCTTACTCAGGAAACACTGCTTACAATGCACTAACTACTGCAGATTAGTTGCCAGTGTTAAATCAGTAATAAAGGTACTATATACAACTACAGGCAATTGAGACCTTAACATGATCATTTCCTGACTACACAGCCATGGGTCTCATTGCATTGGTTTTATTATTACGTACCATTGTTTGTACAACGTGAAATGAATTACTTCCTGTGTGGTTACCAAGTGTTTAATTTGCTTTATTAGGGTCTGAAATTTATGGCCTAGTGATGGTGGACCCTGTTCAGAACTTAGGAGACTCTTTCATCTGCAACATTGAGAAGGTGTTCCTGTGCACTGGGGCTGATGGATATGTGCCCAAATACAGTCCGGATAATAAGGAATATGGGTGCCTGGCTGACTCACCTAGCCTATTGTACAGATTCAAGATCCTGGTATGTAAATGGTTAGTTCACATAGAGTAATTTAGAAATAAAGCTTGAAAATAGTAATCTGGCAATGTTTTATTCACTCCCCCAGGATAAAGCTCAACCTGACACTCAGGCAGAAGTGTTTGGAAATGTGAAGTTTCATGCTAAATTAGCTATTGATCATGCAGATGCTTTTCCTTTAGTAAAGCAGCCTGGTTCTGATGGTTTCAGTCTGTCATCCTCTCCTCTCTTCCAGGTAAGTTCTCTGGTATTTATGTTATACAAAAAGCTACTCATGGGAAAAGGATATTATCTCCATTTTATCATCATGGGCTACTTTGGTTCTTTTCACTCTATCATGCTCACCTGTGATCTGGAAACCAGCCAGAAGAGTCACCCAAAAAAACAAAAAACACCACATGAAAACCATAAACCTATCTCAAGCAGCTGCTGAGCCTCTGGGGATGTGATAGGTGAACTCTCCCTCCTCACGAGCGCTTTTCAGTATTTTGCTTGTGTGAATTAGCTACACTTTCTTTAAATGGCTTTCTACCTTGAAAAGCATGAGATCTTCTGACTCAACGGATCAGCTCCCTGCATGTATTTATTGTCATTTGTACTGCTTTTTACTACTGCTAGTCCTATAGCTTCAGCACAGGTAAAAGAGGGAACTAGATATTTTTTCTTCTTGTGTATCAGCATTGTGTGTGCTCTGCCACACTGTAGACAATGGGGAGGGTAAATTCCCAAGCACACAAGAATGTTGTGCCGTAACTGCCCTGGGTGGATGCTGGTGCCTGGTTCACGTTAACATGGTCCTGTTGGAAAGAAGACTGACCTCAAAGTTACTTAGTTTGTGTTAGTACAATGTCCACACAAGGCAGTTACAGCACAGTATTTTGGGGTGCTCGACAAGTCACACTGCTCCAGTCTGCACTGTGGCATACTGTAGCCAAGCCCTAAGTGTGAGCTATCTCGATGCGAACTGCTGAAAACAATGAGATTGCATGGCTTTGTGACTGGGCGCAGAAACTAGAGCCAATCGTGTTACTAATGGGGGAGGGCTAAGATTAACCTAAAGATGCTTTTATAGAGAAGCACAATTTGAAGAACCTGGTTTGAGGGTACTAACAAATGGAAAAAGTACTTTTACTTCACAGCTGTCTAGGCACAGATGTTGCAAGTTACTGTTTTTTATCATCTCCTTGTGATTTCAATGTATAGTAAAGAGAGGTTTTTTGTTTTGTTCAAAGGTAGCAGCAGGACGAGAGTGGTACATTCATACAATTTACATGGTTAGGGCAAGAGAGAATGCTAACCGAGGCATGGGCAAGAGAAGCCTAGAGCATCATGAGGCACTCAGCAGCACCAGGACCCCGAAGCGCAGTCGGAGAGCCAATCCTGATGGCCCTGCCCTCACACAAGACATAGGAACAAATAAAAACAGGGGCACAAACATTCAGCATATAGTCCTCTACCATTCCAGTAAAATCACCCAGAATGATCAGTTCCTGGCAGGTGAGCCGTATCAAAGACCAGTATTGGAAATCACTGGTAGAGACTCTGAAAACAGCATAATACCTGTTGTGGGAGGAGCAGGCGGGCTGCTGCTTCTGATCAGCACTCTGGTAGTCATTGTATTTCTGTTAAAGCAAAGGGGACAGTCCTCTGATAGGAAGAGGAAGCCCTCTGTCACCTACTCCAGCAGCAGTGCAACTATGACCACCCCTAACAGCAGTAGTGACTGTTCTGAAGTGTAGGGGGCTTCTCAAAGCCCAGTTCTCTGTCCTTCTAAGATGTCATTTGCCTGAATTTGCTTTTGCAATTAAGTGTCTGGCTGATGACTTTGCACAGATACGTAATTGGTTGGGTCATGTGTTAGTACTAAAAACAGGTTCAGGCGTGAATGATTGATTTAGAGTTCAAAACCGTTTTCCAGGAACAAGAGAGGACCCTGGGGGTTTTTTGAACCAGTGTAGGTATAGCTCTAACTCTGCCTTTATAGCCACTATGTAAACCTGATGTTTAGTTGCTACAGTATAGGTTTATTTTTGTGAAAAGGAAAAACAGCAGTATGTATAGTGAAAATTACATAAATCTCAGGAAGAAAATCAATAAATTCTCCTCTCAGATCTTAGTAGGGATATTCAGTGCCAATCAAATCTGCTAGTCAGACCTGTGGGAAGATCAGAATTATTGGCCGCCTAGCAGCTGTGATTATCAAAGAAGAACTTAGTACCTGTTGGCTACACCACTGTAGAACAAAGACCATTCCCTGACCCCCTTGAAAAATAGTAATTTAAGGGAATGGTAAAGTTCTGTAAACTAACAGATAAGCAAAGGCTATAAACATTACTCTCAGAGTAATGAAAGAATACGTAACATGCTACTCCATAACTATTTTAGAATGTCCTTGATTACTACTAAAGACTACTGTAATCACTTGAATTTAACAAGCAAATTATAAAGCTCCTACATGAGAAGGATGTGGGAATTCTGCCTCTTGGCTGTCAGCACCTAGTAAATAACTCCAATGAAAATCACTGTCAAATCTGTGTAATTAAGCTGAGTGAAAATTATGTAGGATTTAATCAATCAGGACTTGAGGCAATGGTACTCTGGGAAATGTCTGTCCTCAAAAAAAGTTAGTTTCCTATCTTTGGCTGAAAAAGGACCTCAGGATGCATTATTTAGTCACATAGAAAACAAGCAGCAATTTGTAGCTCAATTAGTAAGTACAGAATAATCACAAAAATCCATAGCATAAAGTTTGCAGCTAAGAAATCCATCCGGTAAGTTATGTGCTCTGCTCTCCAGTTTGCAAAGGTATACTGTAAAAATTTACATTTATGATGATATATAAACTTCTTGGCCTTGCTGAAAGCAGAAACAAAACAATTTCAGGCTTTTGTTTGATGTAAACACAGTGGTGCTCTTAGCTGCCAATTTCAGTTTCGCCAGGGCGCTAGATTATAAATGTACTTAAAAGCCATATACAACCACTCCTGTTACAGTATTCAAAGGGAAACAATATTTGTAGAGGTTAATTATGGTACGACATTTCTGGGGCTCCTCTTACGTCTTTTTATGCTTTTGGAAAGTAGAGGCAGAACTCAAGTAGTAAATGCAAAAGAGGCATTATATTGTACACTTGTGTGCTAAAACAAAAATTCACCATCTGCAAGTAGTGAAATGGAAGGAACACTAAATTGTGAACCAAACCTGATGCAGTGTTGCTGTACAGTATTAAACAAGTTGATTTTGTAGAGATGTCTTTTCTCACTATTTTGCTCTGTTCCAAATTCTCAAATACCACATCCATCTTTGTGGTATTTAAGAAAGGGCTTAATCTTAGAAAACTTTGTGCAAGGATGCTCATTTGCACAAAGTGAGTTTTTTCTGGTTTTATAGAGTTAGTTTGCCAGTCCTCCAGAAAATGCACTGAATTAAAGTCTCACATTCAGAAACACCAGGGACAGCATATCGATTTCCTCGCTACATGATTGTGCCCATCCTGCAAAGTTACTCAGTCAACATTACAGAAGTGTGAGAAAGCCATGAGCTGGGCCAGAACACTGAACTCAGTTGCTTTTCTTTCACATCAGACAAAATGATAGTCACTTGTTTTTTTCCTAACCATGTAGTTCTAACTTGACTGGGTCTTGACTTACTGAAAGCCGCCTATACAAATGCTCCTAGCTAAGGCTGTTGTCATACTATTAATTTCAGTGGAGTACAGAGATTCAACAAAGTAATTTTACTTCCACACTCACTCTGGCTTGCGAGATGAGCTATTTTGGCCTAATCCACAGATTCGTGGCAAATCTGGATATCCATCATAGATTCCAATGTGTTAGGGCAAAGCAGAACACTGTAGTTATACTTCCATCACTTTTTGTTGAGTAGTTCACCAACAGATGCTGTTTGAGGTCTGTAAATAAGTAGCAGGTCAGAAAAAAAACCCTAGAGGCCTACAAAAGTTGGTGGACCACACTTACATGTCTGTTTAGCACTCTTGACTGGAGTAAGCAGTCACTCCAATTACCACACAAATGTCAATCACAAAAGGGGGGAGGGGAAATATCCACAAGAGTTTGAAGTTACACAACTCTAAAACCAGTTCACAAGCTTTCAGCTGGAGCGCTTTAAAAGAAAAAGTCAACGGAAGCCTTTTATTAATAAATGAAGCCTATTTTATTACTTTAATGGTAAAAAAAAGTTCAGCACAGCTGTTGCATTTAAAAAAGTGAAACTACATTAAGTACTATGTTTCTAGTTCAGTAAACAGATGAACCTGATGTCCTTTAATGACATAATAGTTGAGCATTGTACAGTACATCTTATGAAGACCCGTAAATTAAAGAACTACTTTTTAAAAAAATTTAGTGATTACAAAAGTTCAGCATTCACAGCTTTAACTTCTTTTTCCTGCCTCGACCATCAGGAGTACCATCCATTTTACGCTTCTGTGCCTGTAAGATAAATATATGGCTCACTACGTTATTGTCCCCAAAATTTGCTTACTGTAACAAAAATTCCCACCTATTTGGAAACTGTATAATGTTAAAAGTGGGTTCAAGTTAACTGTTTGCTTGGCCAGTACCAATGGAGCACAGCCGTTTAAAACAAAGAGTCAGACAACCCTTATTTTGCAAGGACATTAAACAGTTCAGATAACCCTGGTCAATTTCCAGTATAGGGGAGGGCTCTTAGGCTTTCCTCTACTTAGCAGAAAGAGCTATGGACTTTACATAACATGCATGCTTATTTTTTGCAGAAGTGAATACCCGATATATTAACTGGGTTGAACAGTGAGTATTAGAGACTTTAATGATGCTTTTGGAGCCTAAAGCATATTCCATGGTTATCTCCCTACTCAATCAGCTGCTGCCTTCAACTACTTATTCTGAATAAAGAAAAGGAGGACTTGTGGCACCTTAGAGACTAACCAATTTATCTGAGCATGAGCTTTCGTGAGCTACAGCTCACTTCATCGGATGCATACTGCAGAAGACTGCAGTTTCCACAGTATGCATCCGATGAAGTGAGCTGTAGCTCACGAAAGCTCATGCTCAGATAAATTGGTTAGTCTCGAAGGTGCCACAAGTACTCCTTTTCTTTTTGCGAATACAGACTAACACGGCTGTTACTCTGATACCTGTTGTTCTGAATAAGTGAATGTTATCAGGGATAAGAGGCCTACAGCTCTTTAAGGTGGAACCAGTTTGGTATGGCAGGTCAGCAAAAGTTGAATAGCTGCATGAACAAGAGTAACACTGTCACACTTACAGAAGGGTGAATAATGAAGGTCAGAATTATCCTGTTGAACTTATACCCTAGAGAGGACTTCCATTTTAAATTCAAATCTAATGAAATTTAAGGGTGGTTCTACTCATGGCAGATATCAAATCTTCACCATATTTTTGCATAAGCTACAGTGTGGTGGCTAAACCAATTTGGAAACAATGCAAAAATAATGCCAAAAACTAGAGAACATTTTCATTTGCATTTCTTTGCCCATTTCTTATTGAAAGCATTTCGGTGCAAAAGTATGGCTTTAGGAGCCTAGCTTCCAGGCACGCTGGTTTGTAAATGTGTTAAGTAGATGGACCCATAGAATGGCACTTTAGGCACCACTTTTGAGAAGTCACACTATTTTCCAGACACTTGATAAGTACCCAGTACTTCTCAGACACCAGAGATGCAGCCTATAACTAGGTAATTTTCTTCAGCAAAGCATTTGAACAGAGATTTAAGATGCATTAAAACTCACTGAAGAAGGCTTTGGTCCACGTTTCTTCTTCTCTGCCTTCTCCTTTTCTTCCAATTCCATGTTTTCTCTTTCAATCAAAGTGATTAAGGTATTGCATCTCCTCTGTAGCTCCTAAGTTACACACAAGATAGCCATTTGATTACTCCACCTATATAGTACCTATCTTCAGACATGGTTTTTCACATCAGTTGTACACTTGGAGGGTGGGGGGAAATTATAAAATTTTATAAACCGCACAAATTCAAGACCCTAGTGCCATTTGAGTTGTTACTTATGCCAGTGTTTTAACAGACTTCTGTATTTAACAGTGCAAAGTCTTGAATAACTAACATTTAATCCAGTCTCAAAACACCCAACAAGGTTTGAATGAAACCCACAGTGAAGTCAAAAACTCCATTTATTTATTCCAAAGTTACCGCTATTTGCTGGTTTAAAACCAAACCCTTTCAGTATTAAGTGTTTATGCTTTAATTTTCATTTTTGATATTAAAAAAAAGATCCTGTATTCTAAAGAGACATTCTGTACCACACAAGGCTATATTAAAGTCTCATATGAACTGAGGCAAGAATATTTGTTTTTCCAAATGTGCAGAAACAGGTTTGTTTTACACAGTTCTACAGTCAAAGCTATTCGTAAGATTAAAAAGGAATCAGGATTAAGTTACAGATGCTGCATACAGGAACCAAAAGCCTAAACTTCATTCATCAATTTTCAATAGTGAAAACTTTTTTTATATATATATATATACATACATACACACCCCTCATCATATTCTGATGAGCTTTGCAGCCATTTGATTAGTGAATTCATCCTGCACCTCAGACTACTTGCCCCCTGCCCACTATTTCTTCTCTATAGGAACCTACGTATTTCAAAGGCCATTAAAAGCCCTGCCATGAAAATGTTCTCTCCCTGGTAGAGTTTGTACACACAGGTTTTAAAACAGAACAGACAAATATAAACTTTATGTGGATGAGAATGTCTTGTGAATAAAAACAATGAACAAAAGGATCCAAACCAACACATACCATTGCAGTTCTGGACTTCAGGAACCAGTCAAATCTGAACTGGGGAGAGTTTCGAATACACTGTCTTAATTCATCATAAACATTTTCTTTATCAAATCCTAGCTTGTGAAGCATACAGATTAGAAAGCGATCCTCCTCCTCTGTATAATTCTTCCCTTTGTTAGTACCATATGATATTCTCAGCTGGTGGAAAGGTGCTTTATATCTGCCAATCTAAAGGAAAGACAGACAAGGTTTGAGTACACAAAATTAAGGAACAACTTAGATTAGAGACAAATGTTTCATATCAAGCTACAGATCACATGCAACCAATACTAAAAATACATCATTTAAACAGTCCATGACACACAAATGGTAGTCAATTAAAATTGTAAAAATAAGTCAAGTAGATGAATCCAGCTTGTTCAAGGGACAAATTCAGGTGATGAATTTACCAGTTTAAATGTTTGAATAGCAGCACGGGTAGCTGATCCAGACATGTTTGGTGACTAGTAATCTTTTCTGACCAGCTTTAAGATTTTGACTCCTGACACCACTGTCATATTTGCAAAATTGATATTCAGATCCCACTAGCAGTTCAAGAGTAGATTTATATTAACCCAGTTGCTGAACGGTAGATATTTTTATTAAACCCTGTTACAATTAAAAGCTCTGAATATCAGTACAGGTTAATATCAAAATCAGTAACCGTCTGGACAATACCTCTGCACAAAGTAAATTTGTTACTTAAGAAATGTGTATTTTACTTAAAGAGCATTTTACCCCATGTTGCACCCCCACAGATGAAAGTAAAGTACTGTGGTTCAATTACATTCTGACAATGGAGTCAGAATTCCCTCTCTGTATAAAGTGAGTTTGGCTAAATACTTTGGAAGAGCTGGATTTTTTCAAATTTGTGTTTTTCACATCTCCCAAATCTGTGCTAGACATTCACAGATCACAGGATGAACAATTCATATCATGAAACCACAAAGAGCTAAAGTAACTAGCAACAGATTAAGCCATAAAAACACCCAGTTTGACAGATTATGGATATCAGCCAAAGCAGGAAGAGATTAGCAATTTATTGGTAAAGTAGCAAGTTATATGCAAGTATATAACTTTTTATGAAGGGGTGGGAAAGACCAGGAAGACAGTTGCTGGCAGTGAGAATAGTGTTGCTTTATCTCCGCACCCTTTTACATGGGCTCCAAACATACGACTAGTGCAGATCTCACCCCTATAAAGACTTGTAGCTAGAATTAGATCACGTTTAGCCCAAAAGATACAGGTCAATAAAAGGAAGGAAAAAAAAACACAGCAAATACCTTTGTGTCAAGTGCTTTTTTTATACTAATCCGCCTCTGAATTCTAGCTTCTCCTCTTTCAATCTGAGCCATGATCTTCTCTATGTCCTGGAGTTCATTGCATCTTTCCCAGAACACAGCTAAAAGTTAAAAAAACAAACAAAAAAAAACACTTGCTAGTCTCTTCTCACACATATGACTCAAACACCTTTATATGGTAAAAACCTGTTAAATGTTATTCACTTGCAGTTTCCTTTAGTCAGAAACTAATTCCTACTCCTGCATAACAGTGATAGCCATGGCACTACTGCTGATATAGGCACAAACTTTACATAATAAAGAAGCTCCAGCTGCTGAAACTAAGCTGTGCTTAAAAACCATCTTTTCCACTTCCTTAAGTGCATGTCTACACTGAAATAAATACCCACGGCTAGGCTAGCCCATGTCAGCCAACACAGACTATGGGGCTGTTTAACTGCAGTGTACATATTTGGGAACAGGCTAGAGGCCAGTTTCCGGAGCCTGCAAATGGGGAGGGTGCCTGAACCTGAACTTCTACACCGCAGTTAAAAGTTCCACAGCCCAAATCGGCTGACATGAGCCAACCACAGATGTTTAACTGCAGTGTAGACATACCCTAAGCCAGTGGTTCTCAATCTTTCCAGACTACTGTATCCCTTTTAGGAGTCTGATTTGTCTTCCGTATTCCAAGATTCACCTCACTTAAAAACTGTTTGCTTACAAAATCAGACATAAAAATACAAAAACAGTGTCACAGCACACTATTAGTGAAAAATTGTTTACTTTCTCATTTGTACCATACAATTATAAAACAAAAACAAACAACTGGAATATAAATATTATACTTACATTTCCATGTGATACTTGAGCCTGTTTGTCACTTGTGAGCCTTGTCTGAAGCCCAAGCCCTGCCACCCAGGGCTGAAACCCACCCCCTAATGCCGGCACTGCACTTGCAACGCCCC